GGGGGGGGGGGGGGGGGGGGGGGGGGGGGGGGGGGGGGGGGGGGGGGGGGGGGGGTGTATTCGTAGTCGTGCATGCCGTAGTCGCTAGACCATTGACCTTGCATCCCTACAAAGCCAACGGAGCACGTCGGATTCTCACCGGACCAGGCTTTCACATCACCAAGCGCGAAGCGCCGTGAGATATTCGGCGAACGCATGAAGGGTGCGCTGCCTCCTGCTAAGGGTTTTCGGCATCTTGTGCTTACTTCCTTGCGTACGGATGACAGCTGCGTATGACTAAATTTACTTTCTGGTGCCTTGACTNCTCGGCGAGTCGCAGGGTTGAAATTCGTAGTTCGTTTCCAGAGAACGCTCCATCGACTTCCGTGGAAGTACATCAAACATTTCAAGTCTGAAACTTCCATGGAATGAAGTGGAAGGCCGTGAAAACTCCATGGAGTTCCGCGGAATTCCTTGGAAGTTTCCACTAACGTTCGTGAACAATTTCATGGATGTCCGTGACATTTTTGTTGGGAAAGATTACATGAAACCATGACATTGTTATCATGAAACCATGACATTTTTGTAACGAAAGATATCATGATGAAACCATATGACATTTTTGTCATGAAACCATGACGTTTTGATCATTACAGATTCCATGAAATTGTTTCACTACTGTCGGGCAACATTTCATGGAAATGTTTCAACATCCATGACGTACGTTGTCAGTGAACGTTCATGACATTTTTTATTCATTGATCTCCATCAACCATTCCATGGATTTTATATGGCAACTCAACGAGGGTCGCCGCGTTGCCTGTCCAAAGCTTTCGAATTTTTCAGGGGGCAACAATCAGTGTAGACACCAAGAAGACGCCAGATGAGCACACAAGAAGCACGGGACCCTAAAACAGGAAGGCATAGAGAAAAAAAAGAAGAATAAGCGAGACAAAAGACGCTATTATAGTAGCATATCTGAACACTCTTTTCTTAGACAGAGATGGATTCGTTGGGTCATTTTCAGACAGAAAAAAAAGACAAGTGAGCCAGACGCGAAAGGCTTCAGGGAGGAGGCAACAGAGAACACAGAATAGAAAGACCGCCGTCGCCGCTCGCTCTGGACCGCTGGAAGCTCTAATATAGCACTGCATACACATGCAGCAAACAAAAGGTAGGGCCCAAGTCCATTGCTTGACATGAGTCAGCGCCCAGCGCGTCACATACAACAGCCGGACGCACGGGTAGCCTCCTTTCATCAAGAATCATTAAGACTGCGGTTGACGTACGATGTTGTCGAAACTAAACCGGCGAAAGGCGAGAAAGAGAGAGAGGTAGACTAGAAGAAGAGAGCGGGAGAGAAGACAATGCATTGACTCTCGATAAGACACTCACTCTCGTCCCATTGGCGCAGCGCAGGATGCCACACATGTGTATCGACTGACGATGTCCGTTGTGGAACTGCGGACTTGCTTTCTTTCTTTCGTGGTAGGAGGTGAGAACTAACAAGAACACACCTAGCACCACGGACAAACTCTTATCGCTTTATGCTTGCTTGCTGTCCACGACAGGTGCGCACCGCTACACGAACGAGCAGACTGCGGGATATCATACCTCCCTAGGTAAATAAGATTGTGCCCCCATGTACCTTATCGCTCAAATTACGAGGTCAGCAGTTGAAACACGGTCGGACAAGGGGCGGGCGAGGCGAACGAAAAATCCACCTACCCACCCACGGATGTTGAACGATGAGACTGAAGCTATCTAAAGCTGAAGCTTCAGAAAAGCTTTACAAATGATGCGTGTGTGGGTGGGTGGGAGAGGGACCCCAACTAGCAAAGAAATACAAAAATGTACGTAGCGAGGACCGAGACAGGTGAGCCAGACGCGACAGGCAGGGCGTGCAGGATCCTTTTTCTCTGTTCAACCCGCCATTCCCATGGCGAAACAGACGGGCAACAGTCAAGGCCGAGTCGCGTCGGTCACAGGAGATAGAAGCTGCTAAAACTCGGGGAGGGGTCATGGTTTGCGATTCCCTACCGAACCATACTTGAGGTTCTACGAGATTTTCACTGTGGCTCGAGATCGGCATTTGAGACCAGGTCGGGCAAGGGGTGGGCTATGCGAATGAACATGACAGAGACGGAAGAAGTGAATTTCGGTCGATCAAGAAGAGGCAACCTGAACGTTGTGCAAGCTGAACGCGCGCGCTCGCGATGTCGTAAATGTCACGCGGGTCAACATCCAGCAGCAGATATTGATAACTAGGTCACCCGAAAGGCCTCCCCGCCCCCAATGGGCGGGGTAGCCACAATTCGAAATAAAGTTGAGAGATGTCACGGTAGGTGTGGAGGACGTAAATGTTTGAGAAGAGAAACGAAACATGTTGATACAGATATTGTGGATGATGAAGGTACGCATGTGAGGAGAATGTGGATAAGTTGTGCACGTGGCGAGGCCGGTACAGGCCAAAGATGGAACAGAGTATATGTTGAGACAGACGTGACGGTTTTGCCAGGTTGACCGGGTAGAGGCATGGTGTGACCGTAATGGCAGGAACGCAGGAGACGCACGTGAAGCACAAGTGAGTTCTCTGTCCACCGTCCGGAACCACTCATTGCACACGAACGTGTGATGGTACATACGCAACTTGCAGATCGCAAACGGACATCAGATCCACAAGGGAAAGAGTGAGCCTGCGCTGGTATGAAACGGCGTCCAGTGTTGCATGGAACGAAATTCAGTGGGACATTCCAGCCAAACAAACACGGCGGGCTGAAGTTGAAGGGATACAGTCTAGGAATTGGCATGCCGATACGTCAGAGGCAGATTTGGAACTATACTGTAAAGACCAATGAAATGAACACAAGGATGATGCAAGAACGAAAAAGATGAGCCCCTGAAAATTACGTGGATATACGAGATAAGAATCCTGATTTGACATGAATGCATTGGATAGTCAGCAAGCACGAATCGAATATGCCGAAAGCGCCAAGGTTACAACCTATACTCGGGAAGGCACACGGAACAACTTAATCGCAGACAGCTGTATGCGTCTTCGCCGCTAGGACAGCCTAAACAGACCAAAAATGTCAATTAATCAATCATTCAAAAAGGGACCATTCTCCGCATCGATAACTCCTCGACTCCTACACTCCTGAAACACGTACAACAGCAGATGATTCACTTGCCTCTCGTTAGACTTGCCAGGACTAATACGTCCCCGACCCATACGTTCCTGCAACCTGTACAACAACAGCGGATGATTCCTCATTTACTTGCCTATTGTTGAAACTTGCCAGCACTAGCACTTTGGTAACACCAGGCGTCCCGTGTGTTCATCCAAGCAATACACACGCCCCTTTTTCAAGCAGTCACATTCACCGTCGACGACCACTTCCTTTCCCGCACGAGCGGCCATGATCTCTGGAAAAAGATGGGGGTTAGACCTGAGGAACATCACCATCTCGGCACGGTCGGGCGTCATCGCCTGCCTAAGATACACAAATCCCAGCCCCGAAAACTCCCTTTGCGATCGGCAACTAGTGCTGTCAATGCAAAGGTAAACGCGAGCTAGCATGGACAAGACGGGGAATTGCACGGACTGCTGTGTGTGTTGGCACGGATATTATTTTTTTATTTTTCTTAATACAACACAACGAGTCCATCTCTATCATAGAAAAGAGTCAGAGACAGATTGACAGTGGAATCATAGCGTCAGGATAACTACCTGTGGGTCTACGATTTCCCAGACAGCATATAGGGACATCTCCCCTGTGGGTAACAGGCTCAACAAATCAGTTTGGTAGCTGTCTTGTGTGTCTCATATATGTTATGTTGGGAAGGTGCAGACGAAAGGTGTTGGGTACTGTTGGGTAGTCGGGCGTTTTGTGTGTCGCACCCTATTAGTTGTAGGACATGCAATCTCCATCAGTTTACAAACATATTCTCAGTTTGGTATGCATATGTGCGGAGTATGTGCGGCTGATGTGCCATCTCTATCATAGAAAAGAGTCAGAGACAGATTAACAATGGAATCATAGGGTCAGAGAAAACTACCTGTATGTCTACGATTTTCTAGACAGCATATTGGGACAACTCTCGGGTGACAGGCTCAAAAGATCAGTTTGGTAGCTGTCTTGTGTGTCTCATATATGTTATGTTGTGGAATTTCATGTCGTTAATTGTGAGAAGGGCACGGGAGAACATTTCTCATCATTGCCTCCTGATGACGTGGCCGCCGATAGAGGCGTGTGGTTGATGAGGTTTCATCACCGACATGTGGGTGTGTGTTAAATGCAGTGGGTGTGTTGACCTCTCTCGTCCGTGTGTAGGCAGGAGGTATGGCTACCTCTCCCATCTGTAGGCAGCGTGGATATTATTTTGTGGCTGCTATGGAAATAAAATAGAAACAAATCAGCTGAAAAAAATATTTTATACCGTTACTCCGTGGGAAAAACCGTGACTGGATTGCGGTTTTATCCGCAGCTGCATTGCGGTTGACCATTGCTTGTGTGACAGAGTAGCTCAAACCGCTCCGTAAAAAATACGCTTGTACGGATGTTCGGGAAGCTCCACGGAGCGGTTTATCCGAGGGCAAAGTTCTCAAGGAGCGGGGCGGTTTTTAACGTCGTGGCGCCGAACGCAGCGAAGTATTTAAACCGCTCCTCTCCGTGGAAAAAACATGCTCCGTGAAATACCCTTCAAATTCCGAAACGACTTCTATCGGAAGACAAAAGTTGGCATCGATAATGCATGGTTCGGGCCGACGAAGTACGCACCGGCGCATTTTCCTCGAAGCGATTGATGGTTCAAGCGGAAAAGTTGGGAAAGCCTATGATCTGCACAAGGATAATGTGCTTATGCGGCAGTCAGCCTGTACGTTGTCTGTGCCCAACGCGCCCACGTATGTACACATGCCACGTGCCGGGTCAATGTCCTCTTGACAGATATGAATTGAGGGTTGTTTCTCCTGTTCCTGGCTTGTGCACTCACCACTGCGCCGGGATGTATTTTGTTTGAGCCAATTTTTTTTTCAGGTAGAAGATGCGTAGCATTTGGTGGTTAAGGCCGTCATTCTCGTTGGTTAGCCAAAAGGCGTACTACTACTGAAGTTCAGACCTAAAAGCAACGGAGATAGAACTGTATTCAACCCTGATTGATGGTAACTATCATCACCTACCACTGTGGTCTCGCCAGCATTCATTGGCCTGCGGCATTTGCCCAAAGATACTACCTGTTGCACTCCGAAAACAAGACGTTTTATTTCGGTGCATGTGTCCGCGGTTGCCGTTGAATTTTTTTTCGCCGGTCGTTGCCCTTCGTGGCGGGCCAGTCTCGGGATCACAGCGCCCCTGTCTAGAGCTCATGGGGCGAGTAGAGTTACCGCACCATGAGTGCACGCAACCATTACTTCAGTCACTGAGCGAAACATTGGGAACATTCGCGGGAACATCGTTCTTTTCGTACTTTGATGAGGTTCAAGCATTTTTTTCGGCCATCTTTACCGACCAGACCGTGCTAATCTGACGATCTCAGCCCGTCGCGAGCTCGAGACTTCAAGGGTGAGCCGAGTTGCAGCACCGTGAACAACACGTCGATCTTCTGCAACGGGAGCAAATCTACGAAGCCGGTTGGTCAAGATTTTGTTGGCGAACGTCAACTCATTCAACCATGGCCGACCACCAGCTGCCAACCACAGAGTTCCTGCTATGTCCTGCCAACGCTGTGTGAATGTTCCGTTCCAACGAATTTTCGCCGAACCTTACGCATTTTTTTAACTGCAGTAGTCTTCTTACAACGACACAGGAAGAACAGGTAGTTAAAGTTAGAGGGGTTAGCCATGGAGAGCGACCCACCTAACTTCATTTATCCAACAGTGCATTATTTTCTCCATTACTTGCCCAACACAACACCAACAGCAGAAGCGCCACCCACAGCTACTACCTGAATCAGCGGTAGGGTCACGGTGCGGAACCACCTGAGCATATCTGCAACACAGCAGTGGTACGAATTCAGCAGCGACATATATTTACTACGTTTCCCGAAAGGCTCCCCCGCACCCAATGGGCGGGGTGAACTCATAGTCGTGAATGCCGTAGTCGCTGGACCATTGACCTCGCATCCCTACAAAGCCGGGACGAAGCACGCCGGGTTCTCACCGGACCAGGCTCTCACATCACCAAGCGGGGCCACAAATCGAAGAGAGTTGAGATGTCACGGTAGGTATGAAGGACGTGAAAGATCTTTTGCGAAGAGAAACAAAATATGCCGATATAGGTATTGTGGATGATGAAGGTATGCATGTTAGGAGAGTATGGATAAGCTGCGCACGTGGCAAGGTCGGTACATACAGCCCGACGATGGCACAGAGAATCTGGTGAGACAGACGTCGCGGTAGCTAATTCCAGCTTGACCGTGTAGGAGCATGGTGTGCACGTAATGGCAGGAATGAAACATGAAGAACGTGAAATAAAAACTGGTGTGATCATGTGCAGAGGTGAAGTCTCGGAGCATGGATTTACATGCGGCGAGATCCCGATAGTTCGGATTCAACTTGAGCATTGAGCGCCGCGGAAAACTCTGTCGAGGACTCCTGAGAAGTGCGAAGTACAAGACCAACAACACTGACAAGACCAAGGAAACGTACCTCTAGACGACAACAACAGCTTAAGCGGCAGTGGAGAACGAGAAGTAATGTCATGGAAAATATACTTCAATAAAATATACTTCAATCACCCAAACCGAGGAAGTACTGGAGTAAAGTGAATCCCGGGCGTATACTTGACGTTGATGATGTTTGCTGCAGAGCGTTTCTATGGTTCAGCGAGGTGGTGCACAACGTGGTCCACCGTAATGGGTGCCGGAAGGCAAAATCGAAAATCCTATTCTAGAGCAAGCTCGAGAACCATGGCAGAACTCGGGCTAGTACATCCACGCCGGAGGGTATCAGCCAAAGAATGCCGGCGGTCAACGAATGATAGGCCAAAGAGCAACACACCATCAGATATATTTTGAATGGGCCACCGCCCTCCCATGAACCGCGGAAGGCGTCGGGAGCAAATAGGATATTAGAACATGGGAGGGTCTCCGAATTGCGTACCTCCGCATCGTTCGGCGGGGACGCACTTGAGCGCGACGAGAGGAACCCATGTGGAATTTGCCGTTTGAACAGTTGAAGGAGCTGTGGCGACGTCGGCCAGTTTCCCCTGGCGACATGAGGGGGGCAGACAATCAACACCCACTCTGCTCCATAGGACAGCGCAGACAACGCAGGAGGATACTCGGCCAGCACTGGACCACGGCGACGGTTGACGCTGCCACACAGCTCTCGTATCTGGAGATGAAAAATGCTGTGATCAAGGGCGAGAACTCGTTAAAGCCGAATACGTGTGCGCGATGGCGGCCGATGTTACTATTGGTTTTAAAAATGCTGGATAAGAGGATGCAGCATCGTATACAAGCCAGGAACTCATCAGCCGAAAAATTAGGGTTTCGGGAGCTGGCCAGGCAACCGTCGAGATAAAGCGTTAAGGAGCACAGACCCCGGGCCCGTATTGCGATTGTAAGTAATCGACGCATCTGGTAAAAACTGTCCGTGGCTAGAGTCGCGTGAGTGCGATACGAAAGCGCGCCCCCCCTGCCGGGTACGAAGACAAGCGCGAGAAAACGGTGGGAATGATTGAGTCTGACGGGGGCAACACACGACGAATATATCGGCTCGGCAAAGAAAACCTGCCGCCGCCGACCGTGCACGCCCTTCCAACCCACACCAGGGAGGCCTGCGTCGGGATATTGACCACGTCCCAGAGTTTTGTGGCAGGTGAAGGCGCACTACAATGAAAAGCCCCGGGGACAACGGTCTCACCATGCCAGCAGCGGCTAGGCAAACGAACCGAACGCAGACCCTGACAGTGTGTACGCACTCGCATGTGCCTTCGACTGACACGAGAAAGCAAGCCGAAACACGCCAGGTTTCAAGCTACAAGGGGCGGTCCGACCTGCCGCTCGTAGAAAATGGCAGAAACAAATTACACCAACAACTGAAACAAAGAAAGAGGCTCGAGAAGGGCTAATGGACGACCCCACAGCGCCTAACGAGAGGAATGGGCTCAGGCTCTGTAAAAGTCACTAAAGCACATGCAAGCAAACACAGGAGCGTTGAAAGGATGTCCACGGCGTTTAAGGAATGTCTGGCCAATGCCGACACCACGGGCATTTGAGCCCATGCCTCCCATATTCTACTTCCCTCCTGGGCTTGGCGTTTCCCGTGGGAAGGAAGTAATTACCAAGCACAGCATACGAGTGGGAACGAAACAAGCAAACGGCATGTAAGCCAGGTCTACGCCGTGAACAATCGCGAGGAGATACAATCCATGGACGGCAGCGGTGGTGCCAAACCACCCCAGAACCCACGGTTGTTCGGCAGTATGGGCGGTGGGTCCTATACACGTGGGCGTGTAGGCATCTATGCCCGCCGTTCGACACCCTACCCCAGAAGTTCGAAAGTTGAAACTATGTCAACAAATTGGTTGGGCGCATGGAAAATCGATCATGAAACTGTACAACTCGGCCTGCCGCGAATATGGTAGTTGCCGTACCAAGACGAGCGCGACGGTATTCACCTAGGACGTTCTTCGCCTTCCAAGGCCCTTTGCATGTTTCGGTCTCCCTCGCCGTCTACCTCACCACCATGTGCGTAATCTGGTCGGTTAAAACGAAACGTTGCTCACATATTACCAACACAGATCACAGACCTCTGTAGCCACCAAGTAAGCATGCTTCAGGCGGAATTTACATGTTGTTCTACCCCTTCTCAAGGGTGTAGCCTATTAACAGTAGTACTACCCCTTACCAAGCAGCAGAGACATCAAACAACGTTCAAATCACGAGGCGGGGCAGTCAGGCATACTCAAGGCTATTCCGCACCCGTGTGCGAGCTCAGGGTATTCTAGGCCAAAGGGCCGTACCGAACGATGCACTACGTGACACGCCGGTCACTCACATCCATCGCAGTCAATCCATGCGGGGCCCGTGAAACCCGTTCGTTCGTCGGGGGGAATCTCGCGTCGGCCTTCGAATACCCACCAGGTACTTGAGGTTGAATCCTTGGATGGGAGTAGTTCATTGTTTCAGTGAGTACGAGTCGATCGTCAGCGTCGACTATGAATGTGAATGCTAGATCTTGTTTTCCGGCCACTCCAGTGATTTACTTGGTATGCTCGTACCCTTCATCATGGTGAGGTCGGGGGTTCGAATGCCGTGTGAGAGTTTCTCAGTTTCTGTTCCAATCATGGCCGCTCAACGGTGTACGGGATGGAACGAGTACCCTCGAACAGTTAAAGTTGCAATGATTCTTCTAAGACGCTGGACCGAAAAACATCTGTCGTCGTCGACAAATTTCTACAAGATTCAAGAGTCTGCGCCGCCAGCGGCACAAATGTTGACGTCGATCATCCATCTGTTGGGACCAAAATACACCGACATACCCGTGAATCGTGTACGTGGTGAGGCCAGCAGCGTTCGAGTGTGGAACACATTTCTCCGGATTTGTACCGACGTCTGAAAAATCTACAAATGTACCCCGTGTGCAACAAGTTGCCTTTGTTCATGGAGAGAGGCGATACGAATAACGGTGTACGTCCGACATGCCCACGACGCAGTGCTCCTGAAAACCAATCGCACCGTCATGAACCTCAAGTTCGTCGTCGAGAAGGCGGAAGACCAGTTTTCGTCAAATAGTGACGTACGATGCTCGTACACGCGATCGGACGAAGAACAAACCACCATGTCATTGTCGCCACCACCATGGCATGAGTACCAAGCCGGAAAGCTGTCTGTCTGTGGACCACCTGTCCAAGCCACGACCGCGACCAAAAGCAATCAAGGCAAGATTTCCAACTGACCTTTGCAAAAGAGCTGGCTAGCGCACGGGAGGGCGTCAGAGCGTGTTTCAGTAGCATCAACGGCGGCAAAGGATATGTCTCAAAGAGGCGGGAGGTGCTGCTACCTAACGAGCCACAAATACCCTATCAATTTCGTCCCACAAAACCAGAATTCGTGGCGAGGCGTTTCGCGAAGGTCAGCAAAATAGTCGTTTTGCGGCTCAGGTTGTATGTTTGAGTCGCGACGTTGGTATTTACATCATGGAATGTACAGCAGAGTGAGGCGTTAAGTCAGCCAACTGTTTGACTAGCACCTGTTCGTCAGATTTTTGTTTCGAGTATTTTTTTCCTCTTCGCCAGCTGGACGCACGTCCACATGGAGCGTTGTCTCGCAACCTTTGATGTAAGGCCGTGGTGGCCAATATCGTGAAGAGAATCACCATTGTGATGGTAACTCGACAAGACTTACCGTCGCGTTGCCTGTCTGAACCTTTCCAGTTTTTTCACCGTTAATAAAAGTCGACGCCGAACACCGCGACACGCTCGCTCACCGAGCACGACAAAGGTTTTGTACACAGAGTACATGACATAAGATATCCCACCCCCTGAACAATTTTTCGTTTTCAAAGCTCGACTACTCCACAGCAAAAAGAGTGGCCGGGCGGCGGTGGAACCAATATGTTTTCCGAAAACAAAAGTATAATTTGACATTCTCGTCGTCGTAGAAAATTGATGAGGGGTTGCGATATAATGTCACCTACTGCAGGTACACGCAAAGAAGAATATGGAGCAGCCTCCTACTCGAGGTAGTTGAATTGAAACCTATCACTACCCATCCATGTCGTTTCATGCGCTACAGAATACTCAAGTATATGTCATGAAACAAGGAGGCGAAATCAGTCAATACCAATGTAATACGCACCATCACACCCGAATGAAAAGAAGACCACCAGAACGCGCTCTCTGCACGATTGGAAATAATCCGGGACTAAATAAATGCCGACCCCAGAAACTGCACTTTTCACGTTAGGTTTCCTCGCCGAAACGAAAGAGCCGGACGCGATCGAGAGAAAAAAGCAGAGGCGTAGTACGCATTCCCCGTCATGGACATGTCGTCATAAGAGTCGAGTTGTGGTCGTGGGAGGAGCCTCTCTCCGCACGATCACCACCAGTTCCCGGGGCTCTTCTACTGCACGCACCCATGGACGCAGCAGTAGTAGCGGCGCATGTCCTGTAGTAGACCGACCACTACTGCTGAAAACGATGGAGACCACGAATCATGCCGACAGGTGGATTGTGGGTGGGCGGGGGAACCTACGAAACAGTGACAGTCAGACACAGCCACTCTACCATGACCCGAAGGGCGACAAAAAAGGGACCGCCAGCGACAGGAAATATAGTAGAGGAGAGTAGAATGCATAAACAAGTGAGGAAACAAGGTACCCTTGCCGCTCCGACCCACCGGAAGCTTTCCATGCACCGCATCAAACAGCAGGGGCACCACCCACTACCTCACATGCAGTAGTTTAAGCTCTTTCACTCGGCAACAACGATAACGCCCGGGCGAACCTTATTTTGTAGTCACAAGGAAGAACATCATGATGACGTACTTCATTCTGCTTGCCGTGGGAGATGCGCATCGTTACGTGAGGAAGGCGTCAACTTGTCGCATATAATTTGTTGCCGTAGACCCTGTCCCTCAAGCTCAACCACAGCTATACCGGATACATCGTAGCATCATATCCAGCTGTAGTAGAGGAATCGAAGAAATTACACTTATATTAGTGAGTGGCGAAGCGGACCCTTATCTTTGTGACTCTCAAACTGCTATTCGCGGATGGCGACATGGCGCAGACAGACAAAATCTGAGGTTGATGTCGGTCTCATCCACCGCAGGAAGTGACAGCTACTCAAAAACGGCGAGGGGTCGTGATTTGCAATTCCCTACGGAACCATATCTGAGGCACCACGAGATTTGCACTGCTGCTGCTGTGGCCGAGGTTATTAGTTGGCAGGGAAACATGAACATAAACTCTTTTCGGCGGACCGGACCCTCGTTCGTCAACTGGCCAACTACTACTGCTGTAGATTGGATGTCGAGACAGTTTCAGATCGTCTTGTCCGTCACAGGACAAGGGAGCTGATGCTCAACCTCGGGGAGGGGTCATGGTTTGCGATTCCCTACCGAACCATACTCACTCGGGACACCACGTCATGGACATAGCAAAAAAACGTTCCCCCGACGAGAACTGCTAAAGTTAATGGGTGGGTGGTCGGGGACCCCAAAACAATGAAAGAGTCGCGGTTCGCGTTGTTCTCGTGGCCCCACCGACAAAAAACCAACGTCGCCGCTTTGAAACGCCCATAGCACTGCATGCAGCGAACATCACGGGCCATTCCCATTGCTTGACGGAAAGAGGAGGCGCCCATCGCCTCACATGCAGCAGCCGGGTACACGGGTAGCCTCCTACTCAAAAAGACGCAAAACGATTGCCGTTGACGTTCGATGTTGTTGGGACCCTGACCGCGATTTACGACAGAAAGCGAGGGGTAGACTCGAGAAGACAAGACTGCACTCTGAAGAAGACACTCACAATCATCCCTCTGGCCAACCGCAGCCTTAAACACGTTTGTGTAACAAACGGCGACGTCCGATGTGCGCTCAGCAAAACCAAACACAACACAAGGAATAGTCCTTGTTTCCGAACTGTGCAGACGTTATGCTTTTTTTGTATAAAGTGGCAACTAAGAAGACGCCTATCTGTGTGGACTAGCACGACGGACGAAACAACATCTCACTGCGCTTGCCGTCGCGATACATGCGCACCGCTACCGCTTCACGAACGATAAACTTCTGTCAAATCTGACTACGATATCATTACGACTCGTTCAGCACATTCCGGGCATGACAGCAGCAACAGCAGCAGCAGCCGCATTTGTGTGTACAACAGTAGTCACTATAATAAGGAACAACCGCAAAAAAAAAACGATGTTACGCGCAGCACGCAAGACCCACTTTCGCGTTTCAACCGGCCGTTCCCGTGGGGAACAACGCAATGAACAGTCAAGGCCGATTCTTGCCTGCCACAGGAGGCGGAAGCTGCTCAAACTGCTCATTATTTGCGATTCCATACCAAACCATACTCGAGGCGCGATGAGATCTGCAATGTAGCTCGAGATTAGCATGTCAGACCCGGTCGAGCAAGAGGTGGGGCTTGCCAACGAAACTTGCACCAATATCGAACGATGAGACTGGTAGTACTCACAGGTCAGCCTGTTCTGTGCCTACCTTCCAATGCCCGGCAGAGAGGGTGGACGCCAGTCCCCTGCAAATCTCCGACATTCGTAGCGCTGCGCGCCGATGCCCAGAGTTCCATCATTGGCGTGTGACCTATACCTGCATGGGCGCCAGAATCACGAGACGAATGCATTCGACGGCTGGTGCCTTTTACGTGCGGAACGTCTGAGCTTTGAGGCGAAATTTGAGCCAGTATTGCATTCCCAACGCAAGACGTTCTAGTCCGGTGTGTTCTGATGGTGATTTCCTGCCCCCCTCATTAAATCGCACCGGCGCCCCCACTCAACGCTTCTTCTGTGTTGTAAACGAGCGAATGGCAACAAACAACATATTCGCCTGATTGAGAGCGTAGCATCTGATTGAGAGCGAGATTGCGCGATACGCTGTAGCCGGACTACCACTGAGAGGTGGAGCTTGCTGTGTAGCTTGAATTGAAGGGCTAGCCCGTAGCTTCAAGCCGCTACCCTGGTCATCCTGTGGGAGTCTCTCGTTGTGGAGCTACAGCGGGGAGCAGAAGCTACAGCAGAGCCCACCGCCCGACGCGATACCGCCCTGAAACAGTTTGAGCAGAAATAGCCAATCTGGGCAAATCTAGCAACTTGTCTAGCTCCTCGCTGCAGCATCCGATGACGATGACACGCATATGCTCGCGAAGCTGCTGATGAGACCTTCAATTTGCACCGCTTCTTGGAATAGCCCGTCCCCTACTTGCCAAGAAATGGCAAGAGGCGTCTGGACCCGAAATTTCAATTTTTTTGGCTCTCGCTCTCAATCAGATACTTCGCTCTCAATCAGGCGAATATGTTGTTAACAGCGAAACAGCAATGTGCTGGTACTGAACTTTCCAAAACTGTGAACTATATCATTATCAGGGTGAGGGATCGGCCCCGTCGCCCCCAGTGGGCGGGGGAGGCACAAGGTGAAGAAGGTCCAGTAGATCCTGGGACACCGGCCGACGTATGTGGCAATAGTCAATACGTTCCTTTTTTGTGTAAGTTTGATTGAGTCCAATTTGATGCAGTACAGCTGCCGCTGTTGTATGGATGGTAGAGAAAATGTGTGACTTGACTCAAGAAACGAAGTAAGGAGTTACGAACAAAAGGTCGTCGTGACGTGCTAATAGCATGGCAAACACAAAAAAGACACAAAAAGTTTTGTTCTCTAGCATTGCTTCATTACTTTTCCTCGGTTTTAATGCCAAACGCTGGGGGGAGAGACACGCGGAACAAACATTGTCTTCGCTAGCCACGTTGACTTTGAGGCGCGGCGTTGACTCTTGCAGTCCCGTCTTTCTCACCGCATACAAATTAAGCCGCGGGACTACGACCGCAAACGTAGGAGTCCCGAAACTGACCTAGGACCCAAATTGGTACACATTATTCTACAAAACCCACATCGAAGTTATTTTCTGGACGACTACGGGAAGAGCGAATTCTTTCACGCGTTGATCCTTTCCCACGCCTCACCCATTGCTGTTCAGCCCGGGGGAGCGCTCCCCTTCAGTGATCAAACTAATTCACGACCCTACGCAGGTAACGGTGCGGAGTCAGGAAACTTCGGATGACACGACAACAGCCACAAGAGCAACTGCACCGCTGCTTGCTCTCATGCCTGACTGCGGTCCGGTGGCTTCGTCTCTCATCGATAGTGGCTCAACCTTTCCGTCGAACCGCCCGTACCCCTACTTCCCAGTTCCGTGATTGCCACTTCCGCCTTCACCCTCGCCGTTCCCAAACCCCTGAGTCCCCAACCTTTCTCCGCGCCCCGATCGAAATCGCTCCTCATGATCCTTCGTTGGTACGGGCTGGGTTCTGGTGGACGTATGGGCAGTTCCCGCCGGTCCCCGGGATCGCTTTGACGCGATAGAAGCCCGCGGTCTAAACTCTTTCCATCCTGACGAAACACGGGATCTTTCCAGTCGCTAGTGGGCGTTTGGGTGCGGTACCTCGTCAGAGGCCGAAAGAGAGAGATGGTTGACTCAAGAACATGTTGCTTGGAGAGGAAGAGAAATGCGGTAGGCAACACCATCGCCATGCAGCGTACCCATCAACACATTTCATCCGCGTACCCCTCCAGGAGGCCCCTTAGACAGAATACTCTGTCGAGCACCCCAAACAGCCCCCCTGCTAGGTACCAGGTTCGATCTTCGAATTCCCGTCACGACTATCATTTGCCAGATAGAACGGCAGACAGGGAAACCAAAACACTTATTCCAACAACAAGTCATTCACCCTTTCAATTCAAACGACTCTGTCAAAAGCACATGTCCCACTAAATCGCCGAATCTTCCAACAGAACAGTCCTGCAAAGTTTTGAAACCTCTTGATGTCAAATTTCTACCCCCGAAAGGTCTGCCAATAAACAAATCACCCTCTTGAGAACAATGCTCTAGCAAATCGTCAAGCAGTTGAAACACGAATAGTCACCGTTGGAAAAATACACATAAAAAAGATCAAGATTAGACCAGAATCACGTCAGAACGGAGAGGACGGGAAACTCCCGGAAAACGTGTCTTACGTCCCGACCACTCAAAAGCAAAGTCATTCCTCAGACAAACATTCATGTTTCAACTCATTGACTAGTTCAAATAACAAAAAAAACAGTCGAGCAGCCCCCCTGCTGTAACATCGATTCCATCCTGAACATGGAGAAGCCAAAAGCAAAACAATCAATCAATCCAGCAGCCAATCTTCTGCAGCATCATCCCGAAAACCCAAAACCAAAGCGAACAAGCCAGCTGCGACCAGGATCATGGAACAATACTCCCCCCCCCATGATTTTGGCGCAGAACTATCCCATCCACCGCGAAAGCAGAAAATAGCATCTAATCAGCAGATCAAAGGCCAGTACCAGGTCTAGTGGTATCCTCTTAATCCGCTGGTCGCAGATATCGTGGGTCGAATCCCCATGGGGTGAAAAATTAACGAAATGTACGGGTGAAAGCGAAATATAGCTGACAAGCTCTTGTGAACAACAAACATCGACGTTAGCAGTAGAGGAGGGAAAGGGACGGCTGGACCCTCCTCGCGAAAAATAAAAAATTCTCCACGGACCACAGGAGGGAAGTGGGGCAAGAAAATAAATAACAAGAAGAAAAGAAGCCCTGGTGTTAACCCCCTGCTGTGTGACCCTGGATGGTTGTAATTGAAAATACACTGGAAAGTGTAGTACTCTACATACGCTGAAAAGTGTAGTACATGTCTCACCACGAAAATGGGGGACTGTCGCCATAATAGAAGGACGAAAACACAGACACACACCAGGTGACAAAGAGCACACATGATGCAAAAAGGATCCCCCGCTGAAATAGTGCAACGAAAACAACAAAATCAACGAATTTTCATCACGAAGTCACGGTGCGCTCAGAAAGTCTCCTTGGGCAGCGGTTTGGTCGCGAAATCCGCGCGTTGCAGGTCCGACCGTGCGTGGACAACCTTGGACTCGCCCCGCGCTACACGCTCACGGATGAGAAGATGGCGGATGTAAATGTGCTTCGAGTTGGGGGAAATAGTAGGGTTACTTGCCAAGTAAATACCGCCTTCGTTGTCCTTCCACACCCACATCACGGCCCGGAAGATGACATTCATCAGATTCCGCAGAAAAACTCTCCTTCATCCCATCGGACATAGCCACGCACTGCGCTTCCGTCGAAGACAGGGTGACGCTTTTCTGCCTCCTACACAGATACATCAGACACGCACCAGCGTCACAATATATGGCGTTCTACAGCAGCGGAGGTGGCGGTGCTGCTGTAGCTCGTGGACTTTGTAGTCTACCACAGAGTTTACACTGCTGTCACCGTGGGGCTGCTGTAGCTCGTAGACTTTGTAGTCTATCACAGAGGTTACACTGCTGTGAGATCGGTAGGCCCGAGCGAGGTTCGGAAAGAGAAATGTAGATAGATGTTTTCAACTGACTTCCTGGTCAGGCTTTGATGGGTGCTAGATGAGAGTGAGCACAAGGGGCGAAGGCGCGCTTGTGTCTCAGCTCAAAAAAAAAACAAAAGCAAAAACACAGCAGGTTCCGAGGGCCTCCGGGGTATGCGCCCGAGTACCGGAATTTCGGGGTTCGGAACAATAAAACAACTACAGTCTCGCCTGCCAACTTATCTCCGCTACAACTCTGTGCTCATTTTCTCTGCTAAGCACCATCGCTTCTTTCTCTATTATGTCCACGGAAGGCTAGTTGCCGCAGTCGCACCTATGGTAAACTGTGTCTGACTACGTTGTAACAGTTTTCCTCGAGACAGCGAGCATCACTTGTGCCCCAGAAACAGACCGCCTGTCAGTTGCCTTGTTGGCGAAGTCCGAATCGACAAAAGTTCCATGTGGTATCCTCCAACGAACCCCTCCGAGAAGAAATTCCGTACCCGCTCGTGAATCAAACATACATCAAAACATGCAAAGCCGCCTGTAAGTGCAGTCGCTCCGGCGCGTGCGAATACCTCGCAAGGGCATGTACCGCGTTGAGAATATCCGGGAGAGTTTGATTCGCCAGCCACATCAAGCGTCCCACCAGCGACCAGAACGGCTCGTCAACATCGGGTTCGTTGGCCGTGTACTGTTCAACCCAACAACGATAGGTGCCTCTTTGTCCGTCTTCACACTTAACTTGCCATCTTCTCCGACACAGCCTGTGGCGAAATAGTCGCCGTCCCCAACACCGTGTCAGGAGATAACCGGGAATCCGCACACCAGCGCAGTTCCCCAAGGTTGGAAATGGGGACATGCTGGTGGGGTTCACACCACACTGATCGCACCTGCTCTTGAGCCCGATACAAAAGATGTCGTTTACGTGGACAACCACTTGGTGACTGCACCGCTTTCGATCAGTCGCATCACACAGGCATCGGCTGCACAAGGCTCAAACCAAGAGTCTTCGTGCCACGGAGCAAGTGATGATGGCATCTGCGGGACGTCTGCCTCAGACCGTCACGACTCTGTCTCAACCGTTCGTCCTCGAGACTAGGCCGCTAACGACCAGAAAAAACGGCACATCGACCAGCGCAAAATACCTATTGCTTGTTTTTTTCATGGCTCGATGGCCGAATCATTATTGACTTTGATTTGGACCAGAAACGGGGGGACGACGTTATGGCT